AAATAAATAAGGCCGCGAAACCAGCATACCTACAGACATTGTCTACTTTACACAGGTACCTTGTGCACCCACAGAAACAGTTCACAAACTTATCAGATATCAATTCTGCTGTCCTCTAACAAAGCTTGACAATGCTTGGCTTATCCTCAGTGACTGGGGCCTACTGCTGTAGGGCAAACGTAGTGATGACAGTTACAGCTTGGGGCTCACTGACTGCTCAATTCTGTCCCTAGGAAGCTGAAAGTCCCAGCCATACCATGATTACACCCAGCCACAGTTATGGTGACTGTCCAAAGACAACTGCCCTGTCACTCGTCTTTCATATTCCTTTATCTGCCATTGCATTTCTGCAAGCATGAATCATGTGGCACAGTATTGTCCACTGGGCCCTGCAGCATGCTTCGCTGTCCAGCAAAACATATTTCAGCCTCAGATCAAATACCTGCCTTCTGATGAGCAAGAGAGGCATGCACCAGGAGAAGCCCTGACTGCTTTTCATCTCAAAATCTGCATAGATGGATCTCTTGGCTGAGGTCACACACACTAAATAATCCACTATCAATCCACTTTCAATGTACTTTCCAACTGGATTTTGCCAGTTCACACAGTAAAATCCAGTTGGAAAGTGCACTGAAAGTGGATTATTTAGTGTGTGTGACCTTGTCTTGGAATCTGGGTAAATGGACCTTGTGTAAATGCTGTGAACACTACTGGGCAGACAGCCTTCACATGTCAGAAGGGAATAAGAGCTGTGGGCTTGAAGATGGACTTGCTGGAACACCCTGGTCTTGCTTTGGTGGAGCTTCACTTTGGGCAGGGACTCTGCCTTTGAGAAGGCACTGTTGTCAAACTCACTGTTCTTTTTGTATTTTACAGCTCCTTTGCGATAGTAAGGGGGGGGAGAGTGGAAGAATGCCAAGCCAAAATACTTTCACTTCCTGGGATGCTTTGATGTCCCAGACAACTTATCTTTCCTGAAAGCTTTTAGTGGTCTTGAGTCTCATCTTTCTGTGCTTGCTTTGTCTTACATGCTTGGGGGGGGGGATGACTCTGGAGGAGGATGGTCGGCAATTACATTTGGCGGGCAAAATCCCAAAGGGTTATTGATTCTGAACCTTTTAGGGCCCTTGCTTGAACCCTGTATATCTTTTGCTTTCGCGCCTTTGCCTCAGTTCTAACACAGCTGGACATGGATCCTATCAATTTCTCAATAAACTTATCATTGTCCAGAGTGAATGTTGTTGGGAACTGATTTCTCCAGGAGTCTGACAACCATTCCCTGATGCAACAGCCTTCATAACAGAGCAAGGTTGCTCTTAGGAGATACAGTATTGTAGCATTTATAACATCTTACAATAGCACTACGGATAAGATAATTTCAACAGCCAATCCATATGCAAAAGAACCTCCTCAGGAAAGCTCCTCCATTAGCATGTCACAGCCTGAGGAACTCCTAAAAGGTAATGACTCAGCTTCCTGAGTAGATAGAAATTACCTCCATCTTTCTGTGTTATACCTCTAAGGATGTCAGTCACAGCTGCTGGCGAAACGTCAGGTCCTACAATGCCAAGACCACGGCCATACAGCTCAGAAAATCTACAACAACTAATGAACTCCGTCCGTGAAAGCCTTCGACAACATATTTATAACTCTGCTGCATGGCTCTCATCATCTTGGTTAATCTAGACTTGCTGGGGGGGGGGGAATTGAAATTTATTCTGCATAGTCCTTCTTTCAGTGTGCTTTAAAGGAGTAACTCTTCCATTTGTTCAAACAACTGATGACTTCGAATATGTTGATACTACCTAAGCTACTAGGGCTGATGATATTTTACTGTATTATTGTAAATGGGTTTACGGAATGCCCACTGTCCCATAGGAGCCCTGTGATTTTCGTGCTTCATGAGCTCAAAGTAATGCATATTCACTTAATGAAGGACAGGTTTGACTTGAATAATCAGCAAGGTAGTTTTCACCTCATGCATTAAAAAAATTAATAGTGCCATTAAGAGTTCTCAATGAATTCACCCCAATGAACTCATGCTCCTCCTCCACCCCCTCTTGCATTTTATGTCACGCATCATAGTGTCCTTGAACTTTAAAATAAGACACTGAAGTTCTTGGGTGTAGTCTTGAATTTTTATTTAAACACATAATTAAATGTCTTGTAAAATTAGAAAGTAGAACAGGATGTCATACAAAGGATGAAATAAAAATAAAAAATAATTATACCCCTAAGTGCTTATCCAAAATTAAATGAACTCTATTATCATTTTTTGTTTTCATTATATTAGGCGCTAGAGTAGTAACATGGTATTCTAAATTAAATTACTCACCTTTCTTATTTTGTTGCAATCCACATTAATAAAGATTGTTTCTCATTATGGAATTTAATAGGAGAAGGGTTTGTTCTTTTGGAGAAAGACGTTAACATATTAATGTCTTTCTCTTTCAAAAAGACGGCAGCTTTGCAAGTATTTATTTCTTTAAATGGAAGGTTTTAGCAAAATTTGGTACTGCTTAGACTCTACATATTTGAGAGACCAGGCCTTTCCCTAAGGATACATTCCCATGATGTGCAAGTCATACAGTCCAGGTGTTACTATGAGGAGGAGGAGGAGGAGGAGGAGGAGG